ATCTGTTTGAACATCTTCTGTGTTCACTCTTTGATTTGTCTTTTTGTTTGCCGAAGGCTGCTCTCCCACTGTGCCTGCCCTACGCCGGCTTCTCTTTTCTGCTCCAGCTGTACTCTCGACTTCAAATGGCATGGCGTATTCAATTAGATGTGCCCCGAGCTGACAGCCTGATCGAGGCTGCTTTTTTTTTTTCCATTTTGCATCTCTCTTCTTTCTCTTTTCCTTCTCCCCACTGCGACTGGAGAGCTCCTCCCCGGAGAGCAGCACCACACCTCCTGTCACCTCACCTCCCAATGCTCCATGTCTCCCTCCCAGTTTCAGCTGTGGCGCAACACTGCCCCCCCAGGTGCGTTAGGATACTGAGTCATTTTTTCACTAGATGCTGGAGGGCAGCAAGGTTCCTAACTGGATGAAAGGACCCGGATGTATATCAGTGGAGATGTTAAATCCTATTTTTATTCATAGTGTAGAAAACTTGAAGTAGGATCTGTGGCATGCATGTAAATCAGTCTGACACGACCTATGTTGCAATTCACGAGGGTCAAGTGGAGCTTATGTCTCATGTAAAAACATGTATAGGACAGTGATGCTACATGTTCATGGCTTTGAAAGAACAAATCATTGTGCCAACCAATACAGTACACGCTGAATGCCAGAAGGCTTTTAAGTGGCATACTTTTTTTTTTGGTAAGCAACACATTTCTGGCTCAGCACTTATAACTTCAAATGTGAAATTACACAGCGACTAAGAGGTGGAATTGCTCATAATCTGCCTCGCTTTTCAAAGGGTTGAGACATTTAAAATTCCATCCTTACCTGTTGGTTTAGTCCCGTCCTTTGATTAGAATTAATATTCAGGTGCATATTGTGCTTCATGGGTCTACTATCCACTTTCTTGTTGGTAATCTCTGGAAAGTGTACAAACTGGAAAACTGTGATGCACAGTGTCTACCTATAGGAAGTCTGTACCTTAAGTGAATTTAATTATTCCCCTTGAGAAGACATAAGTATGTAGAATTGTAAGGTAAACAAACAAACATATGTCGGATCTGGGCTTGACTTTCCACTCACTCTCATTGCTTTTAGATGCCAGAGTGTAACAGTATTTTGGTAAACTGTGTCTCCGCCATACGACAACCAACAGCCTGAGGATACATGTGGAGTTTTTGCTTTGGTAACACAGCTTAAAGTTTTGGGCAGAATTCTAATGCTTTTGTTGACCCATATCTTTTCTGTAGGTCAAAAATGATTTCCACCAGTCAATCAGATAATCACCTACCAACTAAAGGAGTGAAAGAAACCAGGTGTAGTGGGGAGCACAATCAGGAAATCGTTTAGTCCAGACGTCAAACTGAAACGTTTCAAAGGTTCAGTAGTTCTTCATGTGGTGTCAAGTGGATCTTGTGCACCTGCAGAGCCACACTAAAGACATCATTTTAACAGCGGCCATTTTGACTACAGGTGTAACTAATAACACTGACGATGGCTCTGTTCCATCCAGGCGTCCCAGTGAGCCTTCGCCACTGAGCCAAGACGCAGCGGGAACCTGAGTGGAAAGCAGCCATCGTTAGTGTTATTAATGACACCTGTCCGTTTCCTGCTGTGACACGTCACGCTTTTACTCTGACTGTGAGTCTGATGACATTTTATCCTTTCATGTGACCCCGACCCAAAGACCACAGACATTATGCACATTTTACCTTAGTGTGATTGCTAAAGCAATTTCTCTGTTTCCATAATCTGTCCTGAAATCGACAGAGAAATGATTGGCTGCTGAAGTCATCTCAGCCTAACTTGAAGCTCCGGAGGAGAATGCTTATTCTGCAATGGTTTGAGAATCGTGCCCTGTTTGACTGGAATAATTGAGTCAGCCGGTGCTCCATACTGGACTGTAATAAAGCTCAGAGTAGTACACAGCTCGCTCCTCAAGGGAATACACAGAAACAGGGGAAACTATCCCAGAACACTGTAGTCAGGTGGTGTTTGTGGCTACAGATATCGCTGTATTCTAGTAAAAAGAAACAAATGTATTATTGAGGATTTTCTTAACCTCTCCAACTGTTGCCGAAAGAAAATGAGAGTATCGAGAACAAAACATCCGGTAATTATCAATACTTGGAGCTGCTTACACCACAGCCTCTTAGTCACTGCATAATTTCACAGTGAGAATAAACTGCTCCCGCCTTTACTGTTGCCTCTCTCTTTTTTCAATTAATATTTCTATTTGTTCTCTCCGTCCCCGGCTGCCGCACTCTTTTTTTTCAATTTTCTTTTTTTGCCATCACTCAGCCAACGGCGAGGCCCACTCAGTCGAAATTGAGGTAGACCGTGAATGAGCCACGTGTTAGCCCACAGCTCTTTTTGAGGAACCTTTGCGACGGGAAGTGCCTCTTGGTCTAGCAATTGAAAGCAGATAAACCCGGAGGGATGTTTCCATACCAACAGTGCGCCGTAACAGCTTCAATTCACTTATTTTCCCTATAATCTGGGAGATGGGTTGAAAGGCCTGTGTGATGTGCCTGGCAGTCAGTCAGTCAGAGCAGCAGTGACACGTTCAGGTCCCAAGCCATTACACAAGCGCTCCCTTCTGATTTGCTCCGACTAGTGTTTTACTCTGGTTTACCTTTAGATGTTAGCTTGTGGTTGTAACCACAAAGTGTGCTCACTAATATATTTATAAGGGAGCATGTAGCACCTTGACTTGCACACATGGGTGCACTCTTTCAGAGCAATTTATCTTTTTTCCCTGCAAATGTACATATTTGTTGCTGCAACACACAAGCATCCACTGCTGGTAGAGAAGCGGTGAAGAGGAATTGAAAATGCTCGGTTACATTTGAGTCCCCCATTTTTATGGAAATGCAGTAAATGTGCTTCAGCCCCGCTTCCAGCTGCAGGCATCGGTCGGTTGTCTTGGCTGTACAAGAGCATTAATACACCGGTGGAAAGAAAATAATTGAAACTGAGCTGAACATCAAAGACAACACCTTTCGGCCTCCTCCGTGGTGGACTGATGCAACACGGAGCACGAGTGTGTTCAGCTCCCCTCTGTCCAAACAGCCCCAGGCTCTGCCAGCCTGCACACACACGGTCAAACTCTCATTTATGCATATGAGTTAGCGCTTACATAACACACGCAGCACATACACCTTTTATGTACGCAGATGACGTTCAATTCCTCGCGTAATGTATTTATGAATGTGTTTGGTTTGAAGTGCACATACTGGATGTCTTGTTTCATTTATTTTCCTTTAGCAGAGTGTATGTGTGTCATCGCTACTGACATTCGTTCCATTTTGTACATTCACTGGATTTTCTGTGCTTGGCAATAAAAAGGTGCTACAACCCCAATTTTTGCACACTACTTTCATTTTTCATTGTCATGTTTAAACAGTTTGTTCTTGAGCTGATATCGTGGGTGCGTTTGTATGAACCTTCACTTTGCTGTGATCTTATTTATTCTTTGCCACAATGGGATCGTTAAGTTTCACCGTGATCCTGCTGGGCACAAAGAGATCTGTTATTTATGATAAACAGAACTTTGACCAGCATTATTTACTCGTTGCCTCGGATTAGACGGGACCAAGCTCAAACTGATAAATCATCAAAGTGCAACCATGTGAGCTAAATATATATAACGAACGATATATATATATATATATATTTAAATCAAAGTAACAGCATATCTACCAGAGTATATATTGTCAGTGTTCTTTCAACCTTCCTGGAAGCTCAAATTAACCACACAGTGACAGAAAATACCTTAAATTAAATTCTATAACTGCTTGATGAGAAGGTGTACATGATGTACAAATGGCATTTCTAAGTGCTGTTGCTATTTTCATCGACACTGGTCTTGAATCATGAATGTGAAGTGCTGCTGCCATCTAGTGCTTCACACTTAGCCCACTAAACAAAAAAAATGTATCTTTTTTTTGTAAATCCTGGCTGACGTTTATATGGATCTGCATCCCACCTGCCATGGTGTCTATGGAAGTGTATTGATAAAGACAGAGTTGAGAGAGAATAAAACTATTTCTGAGCTGAGCTTATTAATATTTAACGTTTGATCGCTGAAGATACTCGGCACCAAGCAATTAGCCACACTCCAGGGGGCCTATCAGATTCCATTCATCTCCAACAACGATATCCCAGCACGTGTCATTTCCTGGATGTGAGGGGGTGCATGTCGTTTCATGTGAATACATGCTGACCAAGAGAATTAGTTTGCTCTTTACTGGAGCCATTTCTAATTATGTACAGCTGCAGGGATCAATTGTTCTACCTCCTTTCTTGTGACAGGGCTCTGCAAACAGCCTTTTATGGGTCATTAATAAATCCAGTTTTCCACATGGTTGCCTATATTTAGCATCTAAGCAGTCTGGTCAAATTAGAGCAGCAATTATATTATTTATGGTTTCCCCCCCCCCCATCGATCTTGTTGAAGCAGTACATCGTTATCCACCAACTACCTACACATCATTACCCAAATAGTGAAAGTAACACATTTCAATTGTAATGCTTATGACTGCAATTAATATCTTATGTACAGTAGCACTTTAGTAGACACTGTAATTTGTGCCGTTATGAGACATTTAGTGCGGTTTTATTAGACTGGCAAATACTTTTGCATTAATTGAATAGTAGACATACTACACCATCGAGGAAAAGGTTTAAAAGAGCAACGTCACAGCATGCCGCCCCAAACACGAGCTGAAGCAACATCATATACCTTCCTGATGTTCTGGTTGTCTTTCAGAGACAAATCACATTATGTACAATGGGATCTCCATATACAAGACCTAATCTCTGAACCTTATAAAACATTTAAGGAATCGTGATGTTTTAAACCAGCTGTCAGTGATTTTCTGGTAGACGAACCGTAACTGAAATGCATTTGTTGTGCATTGTTTTGTGTCTGGGTTGTAATATTCACATTGTCCCTGCACATTACTAGCAATCATCATACATACAGGAGAAAAAAAAACAATACATTTAGCTTGGAGAAAAAAAACACATTTATTTGCAGTGCTAAATTATCCCATCTTGGCCAGCCATCCAGAGATCACTGGACCCATCCGAGGATGCGACATTTAGTCCAGCTGTGGGGGAAAAGAGTAATCAAGGCATTAGTTAAGGTGACATGATGTTCAGTTAGCATCAACTGTACTGTGAGTGAATTACTGACTTAAGGATGCTGAATTCATGCAAAGATGTGCTACAAAACTACAAGTTTCCAACCTAACCCTTAGGATTAAAGCAGCTTAAAATAAAGGAAATACATTTGCAGGTGAAGCTCGTGCTTCACCTGCAACACGCAGCAAATGCGTTTACAATAAGGCCGTGTTTGACCGTAAAATAACACATAATCTGACGACTACTTGGATAAAAATGGACAGTACTACTTGCCTTGACGAAGCCGATGTCATGAGCGTACTGCCTGAAGCACTGGCGGCACATGTTGAGTCCATATTTACGGATCAGACCGTGTCTGTTCGAGCATACCCGGCTGGAATAGAGGAGAGAGTGGGTTAAACCGGTTATCTTTTACATTTTAAAAAAGTAAAATGTCAGTAGTTACCATCCATCCATACAAACTAACGTTACCGGTGCGGAAGTTCACGCAAGCGCCGCAAATGTTGGCTATCGTTCGGTATGCGGTTCTCTGTACAAACATGGCTAACCCTAAACACAGCACCATTAGCTCGAATAACGCCAGGCTAGCAAAGTTGGAACAAAATAAAATGCATTTTATCAACTCCAGAACTCCTGTTAGAACATGTATTAGCTTTCTGGCGATTCAACAAAAGTGGTTCCGTTCCAGAAACTGTGAGTGGCTAACTGAAGCTAGTAAGCTAGCGCGGCGCATCCTCCACCGCCATATTGGCTAAAGGAGCAGCTCGCACGCGGTGCAGGATTAGTGATATATTCTGAATTATTGGGATTCACAAACACCTTCAAAACTCATCCGCTTTAGTACACGTATTGATATTTGACAATTTTAGAACAGGACTGACCAGGATCGAGAACCCTGTCCGAATTTTCGGGGGTGACTCCAGTAGAGCTGCTGATGGCCCATCTTGTCTCTTTCGCTCGAGTTTTCGGAAAGGAAGAAAGAAGGCCGCGCATGCGCAGATGAAACCCTCAGACGCCGTTGTTTCCGGTGGTGGAGTTTTTGTGTGGCGCCCTCTGGTGGTGGAGAAAACTGAGGTGTGCAGCGGGACAGCCGGAAGGTGGCGTTACAGGCGTAAACACAGAGGTTAATGAGCGATGAAAAGAGGCTTTTAAATCGACAGGAATGTATGGCATTAGGCTTAAAAGGAAGCTGTTCGTATAGAAAGTGGGTTAAGTGTATAAACAAAAGGTAGAATTTATGTGGAGAAAGGTAGAATTTGACCGCCCAAAAAATTTATTAAATATAAGAATATATGCATTTTCTTGATGAGCTAATATAGTTGGTAATTTAACCCAAAATAATGAATTGTTCTTTCCTTATTATCTACACAAACAGCAGAACAGTGGTGACCCTACTTTGGCAATTGTTTAGCAAATTATATTTAAATGTGATATAAATAATTCAAATCAACAGGACATGTTCATTCATCATGTTGAGGGTGTTTCAACAACATTTTAAACTGATTAACGTACAAGAGAGGAGTAACATTTAAAGAGAATGTTGCGAGACGGTGCCATGTGTTTGTGAGCACATACATTTAGTTCAAACCCGTTTTTGTACCACTTTGACACCAGGCTGCTGAAGCAAATTATATTTAGGGGGAAAACATTTATTTTAGTAACTCTTCGTTTCAACTTAAACCAACAAACTTTACTCAATCATGATGCTCTGGTTTCCAGTTTAGGGTGAAGCTTGCTGGAGTAGCACAATATAGAGGATATTTAATATATGTGTATTATATGTATAAATTAATCCTTGGTATTTGTTAAATATTTAAAGATACAGTAACCCTATCCCACCCTATGACGAGACAGCAGCACGGATACATGATATTTAGGTTGTCTTGGCTGCCCCCTCTCTGGCCCAGTGCATTGTGGGACAGCGGCAGGCAGTGGTGCCGTATTTGGGATATTATTTTTTTTTACAGCTAACGCTAGCTGATAGTTACGTCTCCATGCAGCCTGCATGAAGGAAAATGGAGGAGAATGGGACGCCGCCGTACTGACGCTTCTCGGTGAACGGACCTCCACGGGTGCTCCGGTTTTAGGTAAGCGGTGTAACGTTAAATACGGTTGTTGTGGTTCGACATGGACGCTGCTGTTTGACGGGGTTCGGTCCGGTTAAGTTGCTAGCCTAATGCTAACTTACTGTTAGCATCTCGCAGGATGCTTCGCTGTCATAATAAAGCGAAGCTGCGGCGAAAACTGTTGTTTTTTTTGTTGTTGCAGCGAGAGCGTTTCATAGCACTTAGTCAAACACACGGTAACGTTATCATCATGTTAAAAAAAAACAATCGACCGAAGCTGTCGCAGGCTCTGTGAGCCCGACAGCGGCCAATGCACAGAAACAAACAATATAAAACGTTAATAGGCTGCATCGCATGTTTGCACGAGCAAAGGAAACGGACGACGTGGGTATTAAAGCGGATCAGGGTATAATAAAACTACTGCGGGGGGCAAAAACTGCAGTACTTTCAGCTGCAGAACACACGATTCACTTGATTTGGCTTCAACTGTATGGGAACGTGCAAACATGGCCACAAACTACTGTCCTAATAGTGTGTGTGTGTGTGTGTATATATACACACAATATTACCATGTTAAAGTACATGTTTATTGGTAGTTTTATAGTAGTTACCAGGTATATGTTAATTGATGTTATCACAGACTCATAGATATGAAATGTCAGGCAGGGAGGAAACTCATAAAAGGGGGTCAGGTAGTAAAAAGAAAAACACTATTTAATAACAAAGAAAAGATGGATTTGTTCAGCAGATCTGAGCAGAGAGGGATAATCAATATTGGTAATGCAGAGGACAGAGATTTATGCGGAGGGGAATCTAGAAGCATGGGGCAATAATGAACATTGATGATATAACTAAAAGAGGAGGAACTGAGGAATAAGAAGCGTGTATTAAACCATGTATTTGTGGTTTTGGTGGTACTTTTTCATCGTGAACTGAAAAGAAATCACTGCTTCCATTAGAGCTTGTAATGATATGATCGCATCACGTTGTACAGATACACGTGTACGTTTCAATCTCACTAAATTAGCGATTGAATTATTGTTTTCTGGCATCACAAGCTTATTGGTCTGTTCCGTAGCTCGCCGCCGCATTTCCAGGTCATCATTAGCAAATGGAGTTGGCTCAGTTGTGGAGCCGAGACAATTAGTTGATTATTTGATTAGTTGGTACACAGAAAATCAATCAATACCAATTTTGATAATCAGTTAATTGTATAATAATAATAAACCTCAAGCAGTTGAAAGTTCTAGCCCCTGAAAAATGAAGATTTGATCCTTTTCTCTGCTTTATATTATTTTAAATGGCATAAGCTTTGTGAAATACAACATTCTGATGCAGAGATTATGGTAATAAAGATTGTGATACAGTCATATTGCCCGATGCACCTGACTCTATTCATTTATTCATTTTTCATTCAGGTGGTACATGCACACTCCTACCCTGCAGCCTCCCGGCAACCGTCATGCCTTATGGAATATTCATCCACCATCAATGACATTCCAGCGGTACCCATGTTTACAACAACAGTTCATTCTGCCAACAAATAGCCTCATATCAGCTCCTTTCGAATCAGGCTCGCTCCCTTTGCAAAGCACACAATCATAATTGCAAAGCCGTGCTCGCTGTTTCCCCACTACAATCAACTTCTCTCCCTTCGCAAGAGGCTGACCCCCTATCATGAGATTCCGGGTCTACAAGAGGAAGGTGGTGATACTGACTGTGGTGGTTGTCATCTGTGGCCTAGCTTTCTGGAGCAGCGGGAGGCAGAAGAAGAACGACAGCGTGTCGCTCCCCAAGGAAGCCGAGGCGGCGAGGAGAAGCAGCAGCAGCAGCAGCGTTAGCGGCAGCAGTAGCGTCAACAATCATATCCAGGTGCAAGCTACACCTGCAGTCAGCAGGGCACCTGCTCCGCTCCCCGTGATACAAGCGAACGACACGCACCAGGAGAAAGCAAAGGACAAAGAGAAGCTACCCAAACCAGAGGTAGACAACGCCACGTTAGTCTACCGCGGCATCGTCTTCCAGCTGAACTTCGACCAGACGATAAGGAATGAGGAAAAGTTCAAGGCGGCGCGTCAGAAGGACGATCTGGTTGTGGTGGTTCAGGTCCACAACCGACCCGACTACCTGAAGCTATTAGTGGACAGTTTGCGGAAGTCCCGCCGTGTGGAGAGCATACTGCTGATATTCAGCCACGATTACTGGTCCCCCGAGATAAACAAAGTGGTGGCCGCTGTTGACTTTTGCCAGGTCCTTCAGATTTTCTTCCCCTTCAGCGTCCAGCTGTACCCCCAAGAGTTCCCCGGACACGACCCAAAGGATTGCCCCAGAGACATTCCCAAAGAGGACGCCTTAAAGCTGGGATGCATCAACGCAGAGTACCCCGACTCATTCGGCCACTACCGTGAGGCCAAGTTCTCCCAGACCAAGCACCACTGGTGGTGGAAGCTGCACTTCGTGTGGGACAGAGTCCGAGTTCTGAAGGACCATAAGGGCTCGGTGCTGCTGATCGAGGAGGACCACTACTTGGCCCCGGACTTCATCCACCTGTTGAAGCTGATGTCGGCTCTCAAAAGGGAGCAGTGCGCCGACTGCGACATCCTCTCGCTGGGGAGCTACAGCCACATCGGCTACTCCGGCAAAGCGAACAAGGTGGAGGTGAAGGCCTGGAAGTCCACCGAGCACAACATGGGGATGGCTCTGAGTCGAGAGACGTACCAGAAGCTCATCCGATGCACCGACACGTTCTGCACCTACGACGACTACAACTGGGACTGGTCCTTGCAGCACCTGAGCGCATCCTGCCTGCCCTCCTACTGGAAGGTCATGGTGAGCGAGGCTCCGCGGATCTTCCACGCCGGAGACTGCGGCATGCACCACAAGAAGGCCGCCTGCATGCCGATCAGCCAGAAAACCAAGATAGAAAACGTGCTGCAGTCCAGCGGGAACCAGCTGTTCCCAAAGAACCTCCTGATAGCAAAGAGACTGCCGGCCAACGGGGCCGGGGGGGTGGCCCCGCACGTGAAGAACGGGGGCTGGGGAGACATCAGGGACCACGAACTCTGCAAGAGCTATGTTCGATTACAGTGACCTTAATTGCTACGATTATATATTATTCTCTCTTTTGCATCCTCTTTAAAGAAAAAAAAGCCTTTTAAAAGTAAATCTTTATGGACTATTCTTCATATTGCCTGTTTTATTGGACTGTTGAATAAAGACGAATGTTGGATTTCTGGCTTCTTTAACAAAAATATGTCTTCACATCGAATTCTTGAAGTAATTCCCGCTTTGTTTTCTAAGTTGTAATTAACAATAAGAATATACTAAACAATATATTTCTCTGCCAGAACTTTCCGATTGGTTATTATACTCAAAATAAAATTGGCGAGAGCTCATCGGCGCAGTCATGAATTTGGTAAATCTGTGGATTTAGCAATCCCACCGTGCATGCATAATTAATTGGAAGATATTTATATCGCATGAATGTGCTGAGATCAAAGGAGATCCTTTGAGACACCTTGTTTCATTTAAATAATCCCCCACATCTCTGACTCTCAACAGGAGTCTCGTTACTCACTTAAGGTACACGCCGTCGGTCAGCGCGTGACAGTGGCTCTGTTGTGTTGCAGCGCATCACTGTCCGGCCGAACGGCTCGGATAGAATATGCCAATTCAGCCGCCTGCGTCTTTGTGCAGAGATCTTGATTTCACAGACGAATGCACACGTTGCATCTGGAGCGATCCCAAGACACCGATACAACGCTCTCGCTCGTGTTGTCGCTGTTTGAAGGCGTATTTACATTTTAAGTGCTCAGACCTCAGCTCAGTATCGATGGTTTCCGCTGAGGCCCCGAGCTCGGTTGCTTGCATTGACCCCCCCCCCCCCCCACACACACACACACACACTCCAGCAATGCTTAACAATCACCTCTGCACACTTTTCAAAATCTGAAATAACTGCAAAGTTATCGCTGACTGGACTCTCCACACAGTTCATATTAGAACATATCCTGTGGCAGACTGCTCGGCCTTACAGAGGCTCTCAACATAGAATACCTAAACATTGCATGAACTGAATATGACGTTCTAAATGTACGGCATGCATTTGAGACGCCTCACAAAGCCTCCTCTGTGACGAACAGACCTCACAAACCTCTGCTCGTTACATTACGCGTGAAGACATGTGACCGCTGTGCTGAGGTCATGTGACACATCGTGCAGCTGCTCCCACAGTGGAGGCCAAATAATTGGGCCCGCACCTCGAGGGAAACGGCCGAGAATAGAATGGAGAATAGGAGGAAGCGGCGCCGCGCGCTTGATTCTTGGCGACTAATGGTTAACTGATGCCGGAGCCTCCGGAACTGGAACGTACCGACGCCTCTGAACGCGCTCTACTTAGATGAACATTTGAGGGCAAGAAGAAGAATAAAAAAAAAACACACTTAAGTTGTGCATGAAATCCTTTGATGACCCAGTTATCTGTACTGTCCATTCATTAGTAAACATAGTTACTCAGCATGTTTTGTAATAGAGGAAAAAAAGCTAAATTGAAGCATAAAATTACAAATAACACATGAATATAGTAAAAAAAAAAAGGTTATTAAGAAGGCTGTTTGAGATGATGAGCACCTGTCTGTTATAATTTAAATGTAATCAATCTCATCATCAGAGCCACTGGGCTGTAATCATTCCTCTGAATGTGAACATGCAGGTGTGGATTAAAACCAATCAATCATATTTTAATTACATAATTGAAGACGTGTTAAGGAGTACACCTTCACTATTACTCTCTTTTTCCATATGGGTTTTTGTAAAGATGAACCCGTAGATAATTATCAGCTGCACGGAGTATTGTAGCGTCTTTAGCTGACAAGCTAACCGCCAGCTACCTGCTAGCCACAGAAAAACAGCTCTGCACCAAACAGCAGACAGACAGACATAGTTAGTAACGAGAGTAGATAGTATTATATTGTTCACGAGGTAGCGGATACCAAAGAACAGAGTGAATATTGGATTTAAACACTACTAGTTGGCCAGAAAGACAACTCCAAATAAACGCTGATGTAGCTGTGTACCATTGGCAAGTGTTTGCTAAGAATCAACTTAAATGTGAATAGTTGGTTCAAGCATTCCAGATCCAAACTTCTGTTCACCTTAATTGGCCCTTTTCACAGCAGCCATTTTGACACGTCATTGTAGGATAATCACAGGTGTAATAAACAACATTATGCTGCTATGACGTGTCAAAATGGCTGCTTTGAAAAGTATACCCTGTATGTATTTTTGTGTCTTGTCCCTAATTCCCAGATACACAGACAGTTATCAAATTATTTTAATGGACGAGGTGCTTTGTAGCCAATTAACCAATACCCTGGAGTCCAAGCTCCCGAAGCTGCCAGTACAGCCAATTTAAAGAAGGAGCTAGGATTCCAGTATTCCATTAATTCATCATCCTGTTCATCCTGTCATCTATCATCCTACTTCCTGACATAACTCATTCCTTCCTTTCTGAACTCACTACAGGTCTTGACAATGGGCTAAATAAGTATCCCTGTGGAATCTGTGTAAAAATAGGTTAATTGGTTCATTTCCATAATCTAGATAGAACTGTTTGTCCAAAAGAAATCAATCAATGACGGAACCAGAAAGTGTTGTTTCTGAACACTTCCATTTTTACGCGTTCATTTTCTTTGACCAAAATCTTAAACCGTCTGCTTTTTGCAACACCTCGCCTGCTGCTCATTCTTCATGCTTTTGGCTCTGAGAGAAAGCGTTAATCATTCATAGCCATTGCACACATTGCTATTTTCCACACTCTTACAGCATGCTCCAGACTTTTGATTGCTCTTCAAATGTCCATGTTGGATTAAAGGGTGACTGGGTTTCTATGTCGTGAATGAATGTGGCCGACAGCGCACGTAGTTGTAGAGACAGAAAGCAACATAAAAGTGCATGTATTACAGTCAGTGGAATGCTTGTTTTATGTGAACCATCTCGCTGAGAACCAATCCTGATTGATACCTTCATACCTGCCCAGCATTGATGCGTGCAGCTCAGGGAGGGTGCAGACAGTCAGACAGCGGCTGTCATGCGTTGAGTGACACCCTGACGGGATGATCAGGCCTCCTCCGGCCTCGCTGATCACCTCCTCTACCCTGATGCCACAGGCTGCTGGTTTAATGGCTGTGAGTGCTCGTTTCTTCTAAAAGTGACTCATAAATAATGGAGGAGCAGTTTTATTCCCCTCTTGGAATATAAAATATATATGAAGTTGTAGGGTGAAGTATTAGGAATACATTTGTAAAGAGGGAGGGAGAGAGAGAGAGAGAGAACAGGATATACGTATATAGACAATGATTTGCCCGTTTGATCAAGAGATGTTTCTTATTAGTGCAAGTTCACTCAATGGCTGTGAGGAATTCCTAAACTCTCATTTGACTGAGCGATACTGCCACCTACTGGCCCCAAACTGGTAATTATGGGCTATATTACAGGTCCGGGTGACAATTTATGTGGAAGAGAAGAAACAAAGTTAAAATCCAGACTAAATGGCCAGTTCAGTAGCATGTTAGTTACACGTACATAATGTTTTTGGCGAGCACGTAAAACCCTACATACATTTGTAGTGTACATTGCATATGGCTGTAGGCCTGCAGACAGTTCTCCATTGATGAAAATCCACAGCTCAATGGATTTCAGTCATCCTTCCACCTCTGCTATATTCTCCTATTGTGAAATGTCTAACTGTCTGCCAGGAACGTCTTCGTCTTTCTACTGTGTGTTGTATGTATAGCACCTTGACCATCCTATTAAAGGCCCTTCACGCCTCTGGTCCTCTTAGTTAGACCTCTTCTCAGGACCGTGAAGTTTGAAATCTCCCTCAGTCTTCTGTCACATGTCTTGCAAACACCTGTTCAGGTGGGGACAAATGATACCTTTTATTTTTATCGTCATACAGATTTTTGTGACCTCACGTAATTCCCAGTATAGCTCCACCTAAATACAATATAAAAAGAGGTCTAATCAACCAGAATAAGCGAAAACACCTGTGTGAGGGTGCAGGGCCCTTGATAAATGCGGTTCACTCCAACACCCATATTAGCATACTATTTAGCATGCCAGAAAAAGATTGGCAATGTGTTCGCAATTGCATACTAAGTAGTATGATATTAAGGGTATTGGAACACACACTTGGTATGTCCCAAATACATAGTATATCAAAGGCAGTATGACAAAAATACCAGGATGTCCTGCTGCCTCTGGCCGTATTTCTGCAGTATGCAAGCCAGCGTGTTTTTTCTGGCTATTCTGACCCACAATCCTCTGCACAGCAGATTTATGAGCAAGACGGTCCAAATTCAAAGTGCGATGTTATGACTAAGTAGTAAGTAGTATATACTTGGTGTAAAAAATAAATAGTGTGTGATTTGGAACACAGTCATGGACTTTGGTTTAAGAGCTTGTGTAACTTCCAGCATGGCTCGGTCTAATTAGCTGATAAGTGAGAACACCTGTGGCAGGGCTTTAAACAACTCCATTACAACCAATAAAAGAACCGATTCACTTCCATTCACATGAATTCCTGTCCCCTGCCAGATGTCATTTAATACCAGTATTATTAATAAGTCTTGTGCAGAAATATTTCTGTCTCGTGTATTATGATTAGTTTAATAGCATTGACTGGCTGAGCTAAATGCTGTAATGGAGCAATGCGAGTCATTGTTTTGTCGTCCATTCTGCCAGCAGGGTACCTAATAAATTAGAGTGTCTGGCCTCACGCGGAGGGAAGCATGAAGGTTTATTCCCAGCTAATGAAGACACACTGATCCATGCGGTGAGCACACACACACTGAATAAAAGTCACACAAATGGAACATGTAATCTGTCAAAGCTGTTTTTAATAGGCGTCACATGGAGGAAAAAGGCTCCCACTGTTAATATCCTCAGTCTCTCTATGTGGGCGTTTGCAAAAACACCTCGAGCACGCACACCACCGCCAACACCATCACGTGCCAACGTTAGTTAAGTTGGTATTTCAACACAGTGTCAAACGTTTGTTCATCAGTTCAGTAAGTTACTCACAAAAAACCCAAAGACTCCCAGATCTCAGCACCGTCTGCAGAACATGGGTCTGATTTGTTAGTTAAAGTGAATTCACACACATGTTGATGGATGGGACTGGGGAGGGGGGGGGGGGGGGCTATGCCAGCGTTATTCTTCCTGTGGTTTACCTGAGCTCGGAGTGATGGCTGAATTAGACCGCTGCATCTGCGCCCACCTGCCTATTGTTGTGAAAGGAGTCTGCAGCGACAGGCTAGCTAGCATTCAGCACTACCTGTTTATTTAAGAGGGTTTCATAGATGTCTCCTATACCAAATGTTTTCATTAATAAAAATACACCTGAATTCTCTTTATGTACAACAGAAAGGAAACATGTTCACCTGCATATTCAAGATTCATTTAATATTAGGTATAGATCTTCTGTATTAGAAATATCACTATTTTCTGAAATAAGGATCTGTGAACTAACGTAATCATGATCATTTCACCCATAAATCATTGAAGTACAATATTTACATATAATACAGAGCCCATTTAATCTGAAACAATATTAAAATAAATGTTCAATAGATACAAAGGTTTCTTTTTTTAAATTCTATTAATATTTCAACCTTGTCAAGGAGTCCTTACACACTCCAAAAAAATGTAAAGCCATTCTCCTCTAACAAACTACTAAGTGCAAACAATTTTTTTTCCATATAAAAAAAACTATGATTGCAGCATCCAGCGGAGACAGAGGGCAATAAGAAGCCGTTTCCCCAAGTGCTTCCAAAGCGGTCTTCCAAAATATTTTGCTCGCGTTCCACAGCCATGAACTCAAAAAAAAAAAAAAAAAAAAAAAAAAAAAAATGGTTAAAGCAACAAGAAATGAAAGAAAATCTGTGCAAATACACTTTAACGTGTGATACTACTGATTAAAATAGTCGTAGAGGAAGTGAAACGCTCCGGTTTCTCTTGAACAGGTGTCAGGTACTCGGGCTGCACAACAGATCGCCCAGGAAGTGGAAAATGAAAAGAGATGTGGCTGCTGCTCCTAAACAACCCCTCATCTAATTCCCTTTTTCCATGAAGACATTTGAAGAAACAAAAATACAGGAAAAGAAATCTCCGAATTAAACCCACACAAAAGGGTTGGGTTGAGGCATCGCCACAATGCATTCAGCATGTCTAGTCGTTACAGATCTACAGGCACAAAGGGTTGGGTACTAGAGTTTGTTATTTTCAGACTAGACACGACTTGATATGACCATCGACGGTACAATGAGCCAGCAGATCCCTCCCATAAACCTCCTGGACGATTTAAAGCTTGCCACCTTACTTCCAATAGCACCCTTTTTTTATGTTACGCCCAGACAACAGGGCGTCAAGTTTCTAACCGATGGCCTGGCAAACATCGGTTATCGCTAAAGCATGAGCAGTAACACAAAGAGAGCATCTGGATGGCTGTAGTGATGAGAATGAAGGTGACACTGGAAGATCATGTGGTGTGTGTGACAGTATGTGGAGGAGCGCTGCAGGACCTTGGCCTTGGTCATCCCCGTCTCTGTTGCATGGAGCTGTCATTAGCAGCACCAGCACTGGGGCTATACTACTGTTCCACTGGGGGAGTTGGCTGGGTTGTTTTGAGATGATAGCAAACCCTGCGGAGAGACAGATAACACACATTGATAACAAACAAGAGTGTTACTCGAATGTATTGAATAGCGAGAGGCCATGAGGTTAACTGACGGAGGAAATGTGCTATTAAACCATCAGAATGCTGAGGGCTTAGTGTAAATCTCGCATGAAATAACCAAAAACCTTTGGCTGCACAGAGCGGCGCTAGCAGCTTCTGGATGCAGAGGGGAAAATGCAAGTTAAGAGGTCGTCACATGACAGTGTCCTCGAGAGGCCCGTCACTCACCACTTTCCCGGGCCTAGCCCATGTGCAAACGAAACCCTCCTGACAGGCTGTTACCAGACAGTCCTCAAGGAAGATTAACACAGTGAGTCTCTCGTGAGCGATCTTCTTGCACACCAGCGGCTCGAGCAGCGGCACGTCCTCCATGCGCGGGCACAGCAGAGTGCCCAGAGTCTTAGCGGCCTCCGCTTTTGCCGTCCGTGTCGAGCTCAGCTGGTTGAGCTTGTCACTGCTCTTGCTGCTGATGTGACCCATGCTGTGGTTTCGCTTGTGGTCCTTCTCGTGGCGCTCCTTGCGCGAGTCGTGCAACGACAGAGTTGCGAACTTGCTGACGCCGGTGGCAATGAAAGCGCTGTCAATGATGCTGTTGGCCTTGGTGGAGGTGGTGGTGGTGGTGGTGGTGGAGGAGGCGGCGGCGGCGGTGGTACTGCTGCTACTGCTGCCTGTGTGACTGTTGGGGGTGCTGCCCCCTGTTGGGTTGGAGGAGTGTGGCAAGCTGTTGGACCGAGGCAGGGTGCTGGGGAGGGAGTTCGGTGGGTTGCCACTGGTGCTACTATTGCTCGTATTGTCTTTACCATTGGTGCCACTGGGATTGGTGGCGGGTACAGTCGCAGTAGCAGTCGCAGTAGTCGTAGTAGTAGTAGTAGTTGTAGTTGTAGTAGTAGTTTGTCCAGTGGCTGGAGGGCTTGTAGCACTCATAACGTTAGTGTGAGTCCTGGTGCGGGACAAAGGGAGGTGAGGGAAAAGAATGTCCTCCGTTAGGTCCCACAGACACAGCTGGGTGTCCTGGCCCACTGAGCCAAACCTGTAGGTGACACTAACAGGCCTACTGTCCGTAGAGTTTCTCTTCGAGAGCCGAGAGTGAGCGCTGTTCGCTCTGTCTCTACCCACACCGAAGTGAATCTGCTCGTGGAATTCCTCGTCACTGCCGCTGAACTCTGCGGGCAGGTCGCCGTCCTCCACACTGGTGGTGCAGTGGTCGAACGCCACCACGCTCACCCACGACTTGTGACCGTGCCCCCGCGCGATCACTCTGCAGTCCGAAAACGACCACACCGTCACCAGGTCGTCCTCCCCTCCGGCCACGATGTACCGTCCGTCCGGGCTCCAGCACACGCACAGCAAACCGCCGAAGTAGCTCTTCATTGTTCCGTGGAGCTCGGCGGCGTCGAAGCCGAACACCCGCAGGAAGCCGTCCTGGCTCGCGCAAGCCAGGAACTTGCCGTCCGGGGAGAAGGCGAACTCGTTGAGCGCCCCTTCGCCCACCGTCCAGCGCAGCAACGGGTTGCGAGCCGACTTGCTCTTGCAGGTGTGGACGGCGTAGTTTTCGCCCTGCTTCAGGAGCTGGTAGTGAGGCGCCGTGGTGCCGCAGGTGTTCTCCACGTTGTACAAATACATGCTGCCACTGGAGTGAGCCACCAGAAACAAGCTCTCTGAACCAGGAACCCATCGCACACATGTTACTCGGGACTTGTCTATAAGTCTCTGGAGGGAGAAGGAAGCAGAGAAAAAAAAACAAAGACACTGGTCAGCTAGTTATTCCAATATTTACTAATGAATGATTTATCTTCAATATCTTTGAGTGGGATCAAGCATCAGAACATCAGACGTGGAAAGGAACCCACCTCTTCATTGAAGAGTTTGCTCGTTTCCTTCTTTATCGGGTCGATGAGCTGCACCTGGCCTGCTGAGAAGCCCACCAGCAGGGAGACGCTCTCTGCCGTCGCTGTGATCGGGTTGAAGTCATGACACGTGGGCTGCGTTCCTTTGTATATCCTCTTGTCTATGGGCTTACTAAGATCAGCAGCCTAGAGCAAACACAAATGCACACAAGTGAGTCAAAACTGTTTGAAGTGTCATCCGTTTCGACACTGCTTAGAACAGACAAACAGCTGTGACTGTGAAGGACACTCACTTGGCGACTAATTTATTTATACTTTGTTTATAATAACTATTAGTCAGATATGGCCTCTCCTTCATGGTGAATAATACTGAACAACTGAGCACTTGTGTTTATCTTGGAGATGTACTCAAAAAGACTTATTGTAATTGAAGATTGACACAATCTATTTAAACGTCAGTCGCAGTAAAGAACACCATGTCTGGTAATTTCATTTGATTCTCTCAAACCACCGGGGGACAACTTACCCCAGATCAGAATGCCAGAAATGGGGTCGATTAAACTTATATTAGACAGAAAAACACCACTTTTTAAAAACTCAAATCTCTCAATGCTGGAGACAAATATCCCAAGAGCACTGTGGGCTACCCTCTACTCTTTGTTGGTGTCTACAAAGTGCCAAGTGTTCCTAGTGCATGATCATGATGTATTGTGACACACGGAGAGTCATTATCCAAAAATAGAGAGGACGATCCGCCCAGCCGGAGTATATAGGTTAACTGTTTGGTTTGTCTTCCGACAGGCGGTTGACAACTCAATTTAAATCAAACATGACGTGATGAAATGTGATCTATAAGCCACACCACATGACACAAGTTTAAATCCTGTTATCTGTAACAGAATGACATCAATCATTATAAAACCGAACCAACTGAAAACAATTAGCTAAACCTGTAGTAGGTCTAAAAGGAAAATGATCTATAGACCCAATTAACATAATTGCTAAACTGGCAGGAATGTATCTGGCAATGAACCAGTGAAAATGTGATATTTGAAATGGCTTTATGTTTTATTGCTGCAACTCTCTTGTGGTTTATTTTAATGCATTAAAAAGGAAGCAGAGAGAAAGCTTAAAGGATGCATTTTTAAAAAGCTGTCAGTGTTGTCAAAGTGAGGCTGCTCTAAATTAAATAAGCAGACATTAACATTTCAAGTGCTTCAATGATGACGATAAGCTTCCCCTATTGGCTACCAAAAATAACACAATAATGAGACTTCTCTGACTTCCATCAGCAACAGATAATAGCTTGTGTTTACTGCGTGCTATCAGAGCTGCAACGAGGCCTTAAATGTTAGATACCATTATTCAATGACATTTTTGTCAATTTGAAATATTCCAAGGGGAGGAAGGGTAAAAGAAGATGCAGTCACACCGACACACTCACATTCCCGCCATCAGTACCAGCCATCACTGTAGGGAATTTGGTTTGGCTTCATCGACTACCGAGTTATCTGGGCTCAATTAAATGTGTTATTGGACCATGATCTCATATTTTACCAGCTATATTGGCTGCTACCTGAATGTTATCAATATACAGTAAGTCTTAGTGTACTAAATAAAATATAGCAGATTCTTATTTGGTTTCTAAACTGTTGTATTATATGCAATTGATAACAAATATAGAAATAGCTAAGTCATAACTGGTGCTGCTGTTAATAGCTAAAGTTGGCTAGCTGATCCTGACTGATGCATATTTGTTTTTGGCATATTTCAAAATAAAATACTCTGTTTACTCTGTCTTTGGATGGAAATACAACTTCCTGTCATGGTTCTCTCTGTGCTGCGAGATTGTGAGAGAGCACCTGGATTTGGATAAATAGCAGCAGAGTTCACACAGAGAGAGGCTAGGCTGCTGATTTGGGTATTTCTGTGGCTGCTTCAGGGACAACCTCATCATCACCACAGTCACAAGTCACCATCCCTGCTAAACAAGACCCAACGTGGCTTCTTGCTGCAATGACATCACTCACTTTGTGCCAACCAAACAAGAGGATATTGTATTATTACATCACATCCAAACCCCTGACAATGGAGTGCACACATCATTACATCACGGATAACAAACACCCCCTCACTACCATTCTCCAAACACAGCTCGAACACTTAGTTCCGTGATAGAAAAAACACCAAAGTTGACCCTGCTGGTGAGCGCTGTTGACAACTTGTCACCCGTATGTGGCTTTACAAGAACGAGGATAAACAAACACCTCTCACGGCATGACAAGACGGGGCTTTCCCCAAGTGATCCACTTCACTGGAAAATATAATGTCACGGCTTACCGCTCAAAACAAACTTTGAAGCGCACACAAGTCTCACCGAGGCAAAAAACACCAACTGTGGCGATGTTAGCTTAAGAATGCTAATTAGCCCCTAACTTAGCTAAGGTCTGCAACATGGCCTTGTCTTGACAACCTGCGCACTTCAATGACAGAAGCTCAGAGAGTTGACAGCCAGGGTGCAACACGTCTGAAGACGCCGAATCAACGGGCAGCTCATGGACAGCGCGGGCGTTGTCGCCGCAACTCAATATTGTTTACCTTTCTCACGCCTTTGTAGATATAAAAGTACAGTTCCCGGCCCACATTGAAACAGATCCTGTCGCCGTTGCCGGACTGGTCGTTTACGTTGACGAAGGAGACCTTGACGGGGTTGGAGCCTTGCGAGTTGAAAGGCACCCTGTTCGGGCGGCTGTATTCGGAGTGAGTGAGGAGTTTGTAGACACCTTCTCGTGTGGTGAATTGAGTTTTAATTTCGTTCATCTCCTTCCCTCCTCCCTCCGCCGCCATCTTGGAAATTGGCGTTCATCCTTGTCCGAGCCCCGGATGTTACCGACTGCGCATGCGTTGAACCGTTGGCTCCTGCAGCCATGCGTACGGAGAAGTATATAGTCATGTGAGGTAAACCTAGATAAATAAACAGATCGTATTATGAGTGTAGAAACCGGCTTCACACACAATAACCCGCAACAAACAGACTAATTATGTATAAATAATACACCTTATTGACAAATTGTATCTATTTAATGACGGTTCTTACTAAACACAGCCAAAAACTAAGCAGCTGTCTGATTATTTGAATGCTGGATGTAACAACGCAGAAACAATTAAATTAAAGGGCAATATAAAGTTGCAGTTATATTGAAAATTTAAACAAGTTGCTATTCTAATTTTAAGGCAAGCAACACTTCTGTTGAATATGTTTAGATTCACTGAAATTGTGTAGACTATTTATTAAACCTGGGGGAAAAACATCCTTTGGATGATCAATATACAGAAAAAAAACTAGTTTAGTAGGATATACTGTTGCTAAAATAAAGACATTTCTGTAGACAGAAGACACAAAGTTCTCATAGCCGAGACCCAGACTGAGATTGACTTTGGACAGGATATACACCTCCACCATCCAGCTCTAAATTCCAGGAACATCCCTTCCTGTATCAATGCTCAAATCACACATGCATGGACTCACCATCTTATTCTGGTAAACTATTTAAACTATGGGGAATCGGGCTCTCCCCTTTAGAAAATATTGGATATGTGCTTGCATCAGTTCTCCATGTTTCTCAATTGCATGAGCTGCTTCTAGTAGTGTGGAAACATTTGGATTACGTAACAGATCTCTAGCAGATGGAATATACTGCCATCCACTGGTCAGCTGAAGAAACTCACACCCACACTGGACCGGAGAATTCTCGTCTTCTATCTGATACAATGTTGTTACTGTGTAGTCCCACGTTTAAAAACCTGGTGTATGAGTTGTTTATGGTATATTGAAAATGTTGTGGGGGCTAATATAGTGAGACTGCACCTTTCCCCTTCTCTTGTGGCTCTGATAGCTCTCGTCAACACACTGTTTTGTCAATTTGATAACCATAATTATGTGTAATTACTATTCCCTGTGGAGCATCCCATGGATTCCCTGTACCACCTGTGCAAGAAGTTAGTTTTGACTCCTGTTTCATTTTACCAATCAGGTTCTAAAACTATTCTAGTCATGTTTCCTTCAACTGAGAAATACTGCTAAAACATCAAATCAAATCGGTATAATGAATGACAGTGAATGTAATTTATTAGAGCAGCTCTCAGTTCATTTTACAATAGATTTCAAAATTAACCACAATGCATGCACGCATGTCAAAGCCCAGGACAGGGCCTACATTGCTGAACTTATGAATCCTAAATCCCCTAGATGTTGTTTTTGGTTGTCAGACCGCTTATCCCAAAAAAATCAAAGTTTGCAATAAACGCATCATGTTAAGGTGGCTGATTCTGTTTCCAAAGTCCATCTGGCGATGGCCACACGTTGTGGCTGAAAGTTCTGGAAATTGCATTGTGTTGTGCTAAGATTTTATTTATTTTTTACTGTGAAACCTTTGAGATTCACCCCAATCTTGCATGCCAAAAACATAAATGGGCCTGCTGTCCACAGGAAGCCCCGTGGTATGTCAGTGTGTGGCACCTCGATAGCAGCTGATAGCAAAATCACAGCTGTGACGCTTACAGGGGGTATGGGGCCTAAGAGCTAGACAAGCTATCAGGAAAGTGCTCGATTTGAGTGACAGGCACTCCTTGTGACTCTGAAGCCCTATTAGGGCACATAAACTTTAGGGCTCTGGTGTCTCACTCGCCAACCCCCCCCCCCTTCCCAGCCTTTCCTCAACACCCCCCTTAACGTAGTGAACATATCTTCTGGAAGCTTCTGAATGGAAGCTTCGAGAAACCCCCCCTGAAGTATAAAAAGACACCAGCGTGTCGTGGGGTCTGCCTAGATTCAGTTGAACACACCAAAAGAGACTTACTGCCTACGGGAGGAGCAACGAAGCACACACTTGGAGCTCAGTGATACATTTGAAGACTATCATTAAGAGGCAACTGAAAGAACATATTCTATTCAAGGTAAGACTGAAGATGAAAGTTTATATCTTATTAATTTGGTTGCTTTAATGGTAGGAGCACGGGCAGAGGAGGAAAAATACATGCTGCAAATTAACTGACAGAATTGCACAAATATAAAGTTATAATAAAATATAAAGTCAGTTCTTTGTAGTGTGGCAGAATGGCCCCTTTAGCATTAGTATCATGTTGAGGCTGTAACATGCAAGGAACACATGGCAAGCAGGGTGACCCTGGGTGTGAAAGTAATGGCGGATGAGCAGGAAAACCGGCTGGCACAAAGAGCAGATACTGCAGTTTCACATCTTAGTGCAGAAAAGTATCAAAAACATCGCAAACATAGGGGCGATGTTTGAATGCAATAAAATCACAAAGATGACAACTTTGTATGGTCTATTTTAATCATGAATACAAAAGGAACTGAAGAAATGTTCCTACCAGGCAGATTTATTTTGTCCTGAAGAAATGTTCCTACCAGGCAGATTTATTTTGTCCTGACAACAAATGCCTCACTCATGAAAAAAGATAACAGCTGCTCTACAGTTAAAACCAGATTGTCTTCCATCTTTGAATTTGTAGCTGCTGTTCCTTCCTTTAACTTAAAGGTGTTAAGTGACACATGGTGAAGGCTTTGGGGGTTGGGTAAAGCATCCCAACTCCACCCATTTAGCAAATTGCAAGTCTTTGATTGACAGAAGGAACATGTGTTCGTCTACCATCTGCAATAGCTGACCTCGTCATGCCACGAGGCTGCCTTTAACAGGGCGGAGAAAGAGATTTCAAATGTAACAGGAGGAGATTAGTTTTGAGATATCTAACTTCTATTTCACACAAGAAGCATAATTATGAAATATAACATGTGCTTTCTTTCAGATGCCTGCCGCTGGAAACGTTATGGAGGAGGAGGCTGAGACGTTTGCCTTCCAGGCTGAGATCGCTCAGCTGATGTCCCTGATCATCAACACCTTCTACTCAAACAAAGAGATCTTCCTTAGAGAGATTATCTCCAACTCCTCAGATGTAAATAAAAACCATAACTTCATTATATATGTTCCTTTGCTTTTGCACATGTAAGCAGCTCTCACATGTGTGCAAACATCACTATTTTAACAAGCTTATCCCTATCTCACAGGCCTTGGACAAAATCAGATATGAGAGCTTGACAGACCCCAGCAAACTTGAGTCCTGCAAGGACCTGAAGATCGAAATCACGCCCGACCTGCACGCTCGCACCCTGACCCTGACTGACACTGGTATCGGCATGACCAAGGCCGACCTGATCAACAATCTGGGAACAATCGCCAAGTCCGGCACCAAGGCTTTCATGGAGGCTCTGCAGGCTGGAGCCGACATCTCCATGATCGGTCAGTTTGGTGTGGGTTTCTACTCTTCCTACCTCGTGGCTGAGCGGGTGACGGTGATAACCAAGCACAATGACGATGAGCAGTACATTTGGCAGTCTGCAGCTGGCGGCTCATTCACAGTCAAAGTTGACACTGGTGAGTTCCCTCATTGATATAATATTCAATATTTTGCATTATGACTATGATTTGGCTCTGCGCTCACCATTGGTTTTATTGCTACCTTTAGGAGAGTCCATCGGCAGAGGCACCAAAGTGATCCTTCACCTCAAAGATGATCAGACAGAATACTGTGAGGAGAAGCGCGTCAAGGAAGTTGTGAAGAAGCACTCACAGTTCATTGGCTACCCTATTACACTTTATGTAAGTACCATTAGCAAACCTAATAATAACCAATGATATTGACATGCTTAGACAAACCAATTCCTAAAGCATCAACTCTTTCCACATATTCAAGGTGGAGAAAACAAGGGAGAAGGAAGTGGACCTTGAAGCGGGAGAAAAGGAAGAGGAAGTTGAGAAAGATGCCGCTGAGAACAAGGACAAACCTAAGATTGAGGACGTGGGCTCCGACGAAGATGAGGACACAAAGGAGAGCAAGAACAAGAGGAAGAAGAAGGTCAAGGAGAAGTACATAGATGCCCAGGAGCTGAACAAGACCAAGCCAATCTGGACCCGTAACCCTGATGACATCACCAACGACGAGTATGGAGAGTTCTACAAGAGTCTCACCAACGATTGGGAGGACCACCTCGCTGTCAAGGTGAGCCGAGTCTAATGACGATAAACATGCCGAAAGGTGCCACCTAACTACCTCTTTGCAAACCTGTTCATGGCTTCATGTGAGGTTTTTCAAGCTGATAAATTCATACTTCATTCTTGTCTCTTGCAGCATTTCTCAGTGGAGGGTCAGCTGGAGTTCCGTGCCTTGCTCTTCGTACCCAGAAGGGCATCTTTCGACCTCTTTGAGAACAAGAAGAAGAAGAACAACATCAAGCTGTACGTGCGCAGAGTCTTCATCATGGACAACTGCGATGAGCTCATCCCTGAGTACCTCAGTGAGTAACATAAGTGACACATTGCTAATCATTCACATACAATTTCTTGGATACATATAAAGATATGTATGGCTTTGATATTCTGCATGCTAATTGTTAGTAAGATTATTTTGTTTATAATATTTTAAGTCTGTCTGGCTTTGGAAGGCTAAGCACTCGTTATTGTCTCTATTCAGATTTCATCAAGGGTGTGGTGGACTCTGAAGATCTGCCCCTGAACATCTCCAGAGAGATGCTGCAGCAGAGCAAGATCCTGAAAGTCATCCGCAAGAACCTGGTCAAGAAGTGCCTGGAACTCTTCACCGAGCTGTCCGAGGACAAGGACAACTACAAAAAGTGCTACGAGCAGTTCTCTAAGAACATCAAGGTAGGTTGATCCATCTGAATTTAGGTATTTAACTCTAACCCTTCAGATAGAGAGTCTGAGGTTTCGCATGTTTAACGTTGAATATTTGTAACACATCTTTTCCTGTTTCAGCTTGGCATCCATGAAG